CCGGCAGCCTTGGCTGTGGCTGGGGAAGGCCGTGTGGTGACTGCCCGCACCGACCTCTGCGCAGCAGGGTGGGCGCTCCAGGCTCAAACGCCTCGGTTTTGCTGCCAAGGAGAATCACTAGAGCGAGCCTGGAAACCCCCCCAGGTTATTTCCAGCGGTGACCGGTGGGTCTGGCAGCAGGAGGCTCCCTCAAAGCCCCGCTGACATTAATCGTGGCCGCGGAGCCTGCTTTGTGGTGGACCTGTGAGCAGTGCCTGCAGCCAAGGGGCTGTGTGGGCAGAGTCGTCCCTCCCGCTTCACACGTCTCTCTCCTGCCACACAGGCGTCGGAGATCGATGAGCGGCGGATTCAGAGCTGCGTCCACTTCATGACCCTGAAGAAGCTCAACCGGTTGGCTCACATTCGGCTGAAGAAAGGCAGAGATCAAACCCACGAGGTACAGAGGGGGCTGGGGGGCCGACAAACACGGACTGGGATTTAGTGGGGTCAGGGATGGTGCCGTTTCCGCCTGTTCCGCCTGCGAATGCGTGCGCGCACGTGTGGGAGGAGTGGAACACCAGCCAGACTGCAGGTTTTGAATCGGGAGTTTATCAGGAGACTGCTGCGGCGCAGCGGAAGCCGTGATTGCAATGGATGCCAAAGGAGCGGTGTCTGCTTCTGTTGGGAAGGCAGCGGGGAGGCAGGAAGCTCTGTCTTGGGAGTCTGGCGTGCTGCAGGCCTGGGAAACCTGCGCGTGGTTGGCCCTGAAGCTCCTTACCCAGATAACTGTGAGCAGCTGCCTGAGCTTACTAACAATGCTTATTTTTCTTGTGCGGCTGGGGAGACTGAGACACGGGGACGGGGGTGGCGCTCGGCCCGTGTGGCCCAACCGCTCTGCCCTGCTCCGTGCCTTGTCCTCAAAACGCGCTGTCTCCAGAGCGGAGTCACTTTGATGTGATGAGTGTTTGCTTCCCAGCCCTTGAAAATGTCGTTTTGCACCAGAAAAATGGTTCTGTGCCCTAAAACCCACCATCCCTAGCTGGAATGGCGAGAGGGGGGGACGTGTTGGTGACTCTCTTGCTGGGAGGAACGCAACAGAGCTTCATCCCCTGCTCGGTGCCGGTGTTTCAGGCCAAGCAGAAGGTCGATGCGTATCACCTGCAGCTCCAGAACCTGCTCTATGAGGTGATGCACCTGCAGAAGGAGATCACCAAATGCCTGGAGTTCAAGTGAGTGCGGCTGGCGAGGAGAGTGAGCGACGGCGCGTCTGAGGTGGGCTGGAGGCCTCCGACGTTTGGGATCCCCTGCCACGTGGCCCGAGCCCACTGTTGGGGGAGAGCGGCCAGCTGCCGCCACGCAGCAGAGACAGAGCCTCCTAGAGCTCCCGTGCTGGGACACGGCGGAGGAGGCTCGTGGAGGGAGGGGGGAAGAAGTCGCCCATTGTGGTCGAGGGACAGTGGAGCAGAAAACGGGTAAATGTGACAGCCGTGGCCGCGCTGGGCTCTTCAAGGACTCCCTGACCTCTACATCAGGGTTTCCTTCCGAAAGCCAAGCCTTCCGGTGCACCTGTTGCGTAGGCAGTGCCCTGAACCACTGCTGCAGGGCTGAATTCAGACAGATGCCTCAAACAGCGCTGTGGTGAACTGCGCGGGGAAGGGGTCTCTCCACGTGGGGCCCTGTTCCGGCCCTGCTCTCCTCTGCCGAGCTCTGCTGCGGCTCAGCTTGCGATGCCGTGGTGTTCCACGTGGCAGAGCGAAGCTGGGGCACGGGGCGTTGGCACTGACCACTCTCCTGTGAGACGCAGTCGAGTTTGGCTCTGCTGCGGCGTCTGCCACCCTGCCCTGGTCTGACCCCTCTGTCGTTGCAGGTCAAAACATGAGGAGATCGAGCTGGTGAGCCTGGAGGAGTTCTACAAAGAGGCTCCCCCCGAAATCAGCCGGCCTGCCGTCACCCTGTCTGAGCCCCACCAGCAGCCCCTGGCCTCCCTGGA